CCAACAAAAAATGCAGTTTAGTTTTTAGACAAAAGACAGTTAAAAAAATTATAATGTACATGTGCAACCATCTGTTTCAACTATAAATGTGCATTGAAATATTCAATGGCAAACGCTAGATTTATCATGGCCATTATAGGTGCTGAGTTTCCTTGCTGCCGCCTAATCCCTTACAATTCCCTTGCTGATTTCAAGATCTGTTTCTTTCCCAGAATCAATTATTTCACGAGTTGTTTTCCTATTATTGCTTGAGTCCTCTGAAAGACTAAAGTGATGCATGTTAAATGCCAAACGCTCTCAGTCCCCAAGAACAACTTATAATTGCTTCAGTTTCCTTTATTGTTCCTCACCTTTAGAAATTGTGCCATATTAAAGCAACTGCTTGCATCATTAAAGACATACTCTGAGAATTGCTAGGGAGGAGCCCTCTTAACTCTTTCTCTTGGTCAAACTATCTAAACTTGGCTGCCTCTTGACCCTCTGGAATGCATTCCCCCAGGGGTGTTGAAATATACAGTACAGGTGGTCTTTTCTTATGACAGCAAAAAGTTGGAAATAAATGGCTAGGGTCTTTCAATGCACTAAGTTATTTTTTGATGAGCCATGATTTGTTGAATGAACCAAAGTGGGATTAGTTCATATGTTATGCAAAAACACAAGCAAGCAACTAATTGTTTTGGTAGGTGTTAGGAACCCATACAGTTACGGTGTATAGGTAGAGATTAGCTGTCTGCTTCTAGAATTCCCAGTAAGTTTGGCTGGGAAATCCCCATTCCCCATTCCACAAAATATGACTGTGTTTGTCTCCCTTCTAATGCTCATCCCCTACTAAGATGATACAACTTGAATCTTGCTTGGATGTTTTATCCAAGTAATGCTAAGTCTATGCTTTGAAATTTCACTGATATGTGTATTCTATTTTCTTAGCTAAATTTCTTTATTTTTCTTCCTCTTTCTCACAGGATGCACATCGTTTTGGGTTTAATATCCGGAAAGCCATGAATGACATCTTGAACCTTTTCCAAGTGAACAAAATGGCCCATGCCACAGCTGGCAATTGACTGAATAAATGCCAGCAGTATTGTACAATTAGTTATCAATGACACATATTGAGTGTGTTTTTGTTCACTGATCAGCAGGGATTTTTGAAAAGGGGGGAGGGGATGCCCAGGGACCAGTCCTGAAGATGTTTGCAAGCACAATGGAGTTCCTCTTTGGATTTAGAGGCCTGGATTCTACTGTAAATCAAATACCACAGATCTCTAGGCAAGTAAGATTTCTTATTCACCCTGCCCACATTTCTGTATTTCCTAAAGATCTGATGGGAAAGATTGCTAACCAAGATGAAGAGTTTTTTTCTGGATTAGAACAGAAAAGTTGGGAGCTTTGCTGATTGAGGTTTCTGCTCCAAGCTCCCACGTGGATTTTCTGAAGCTGTGCCTCCCCAGCAACCAGCTGCTAGAATCTCTTCTCCTTGTGCTCCAGCCACTTCAGACCACAGTGGTTGATTACCTGCCTATTCTGTGCTTCAAAAATGAAGGACTCAGTCCCTGTGGCTGTGATGATTATGCTATCCCCATAAAGTGCTTCAAATAGGATGAAGTGAATTCCTCATTCTAACTCTTTAATGCCTGAGGTAATAGGAAATCACTATAAATTCAATATAGGGGAAAGGAATCTTAATGTAAGCCAGATCAATTGGCCTATCTCTTAGCATTATAAATATTAATAAAACTCCAGAGTGGGAGTTCTTGCCAAAAAAAGTCTGGTTTTGGTCAACTGAAAGGTTGGAAAGTGACAAGGAGCATGTCTAAACACCAAGAGGTTTTGAAGGGAGCCCTCAGTTGCCAAAGTGTTTCATACTGCCTCTTTTAAATTTCCTTTTATCAGACAAACCAGACTTCACCCCTCTAGAGACTTTAGCAAGTAGTTTTTGACTACCATCCTTCTGCATCATTTCTGCAACTGTCATTTGAAGACCATTTTTAAAAAATATATAAGGGCTTAACTATGGAACATACAAGAAAGAATATTAGGGAAATGATGTGAAAAAGGGGGCACGGCCAGATTGCAGTTAGAAAAGTAGATGGTGTTATGCAACTTCCAAAAAGCTTTTGCACTTCATTACCTTCTGAGAGTTCATAGCAAGATGGAGAGGTTTTTCAGCTCTTTAGAGTGTTGAATCAAACTTATTAGATTGAGATGGTGCTTGGCATTTGGATGGCATGCTTGTTTAAGGCGGATGGTCTTATACCAGTACTTCTTCTTTATGCAGGAGCCTCTAAGGTTGTTCCAAATCCTACTTCCATTGATCAGAGCAACATCCATTGATTGGATGTTGGAAAAGGGAGAGAAAAGGAAGGCTTACAGAGCTCATTAATCCATTGGGGCATCAAGCCAAGCAAATAATATGTGCAATACTTGTAATCATGACGCTGTAGGTCACCAAGCAAACAAGGTCAGCGGTTTGACCTAAGAGAGCAGAGAGCCAAGTACCACAGGGAAAAGCAGCCTGCATGCTCCCAGGGCTGCCTCTGCAGGACTCTACTGCCTCCTGATGGCTTGCATGCACTTGGCCACAAGGCATGGTCAGGCCTGTGACTGTAGCAAGAGATGGGAACAGCACAGTCATAGAAAAAAATACTAAAGGGTAGATTTAGATCTGACAGCTCAGTTCACTTTACTCAGTGGTAATGCCTGAGGCTGAGAGTTTTGGATCCTGCAGAAATGACAGTCCTTAGAAGGGGTGGTTAATAAATAGGTAGCAAAAACATTGTCTCCTCCCTCTTGGTCACTTTAGTTTAGTAGGTAATGTGTAAAAGAAGATAGTAATCAATGAGAATCTAAATCATGTGTAAAGACCACTCCTGGAAATTCGAAAGTTATGTTGTGAATTACATAGAGACTAAGAGCAGGAAGCTCTTCAGAATATAATAGCTATAGCAGACTTATATACCAGCACTTTACAGCTCTCTCTGAGCGGTTTACAGAGTCAGCCTATTGCCCCCAACAATCTGGGTCCTCATTGTACTGACCTTGGAAGGATGGAAGGCTGAGTCAACCTGGAGCCTGGTGAGAATCGAAAATCAAACTGCTGGCAATCAGGAGTCAGCAGGATTGGCCTGCAATACTGCATTCTAACTGCTGCACCACCATGGCTCAACTACAAAATCGTTTGGGTTTTTTTTTAAACTATCCATAGTTGAATTTAGATCTTAGTGCAAGTTTGAACAACCATTAAGCAGTGAAAGATTCATTTTTAGTTTATATTTTGGATGATTTAAGACAGAGAAATGGCAAGGGATATCAAATGGGGTGTGAGAATTGAGTTTTTAAAATGCCTCATACCTTTAGCTTCACTCCCTGTCCCCAGAACAACAGATATAGGTAGACTTCAACCGACAACCATAATTGGGTTTGGAATCTCCATCGCTAAGTGAGGCAGTTGTTAAGTGATATGCACCTGATTTTACAACCTTTTATCCCCTCACCCTCCTGGAAGTGGCAAACTGTCATAAATACATGCTGGTTGCAAAGCAGCCAATTTTGATCACATAAACACAGGGACATGCAATGGTTGTAAATGCAAGGATAATAGTAAATCACTTTTATTAGCACTGTCATAACTGAATGATTGCTAAACGAACCTAAGCAACTGTAACTGACATATTTCTGACATTTGGCACTTAATTATAGTCAGCCACAAGTAGCATTGCTAGTACATGTTTATCTCTGGAGAGGGGAATCACCTGGAACCACCATATTATTGCCTTTGCTTTACTGGTCTTAACTTGTGGGCTATCAAGAGACTCCTTATAGCTCAGTTTGATTTACAATAGCTGATGCCCAGCATTTTTTATCCTATAAAATGGTTCTGACATAGTAGAACAAATTGCTGAAAACTGCTAACCTAGTTACAAGGTTGTAGAAGGATTTAAAATGATTAAACAAATAATGCCTGCCCCAGTCAAAAGCTGGTGTTCTCTTGACAATTTCAGCTACATGACACAAAAAGCTGGAACAGAAAGAAAATGCAAACTAAATTTCTCTTCGTATATAATTTTATTTAGAAACTTCTTAGTGATTCTTTTTTCTTCCACCCTACTGTTTCTCAGACTTCCCCCTTATTTCCCCTTATAGAAATATCTGGGAAGATCAGATCAATTATAAAGGACTTTTAAAATTAGGACATAAAATTAGGAAATTGTTCCTCCTATAACCACCAAGAGACTAAGATACTATATCCATGGAATAAATAACAAGGCAACAATGATGGGTTTCCATATATGCAAAAGATGTGTTGATAAATAAAATAGAACAAAAACAACGTTCTAAATTTTCAGTAAGTAAGCTTTGCAAGAAGAGAAAGCTAGAGACACACATGTGCTAATTTGCCTATTAATGAAAAGAAAGTCTGTGCTTCTGAGCTCACATATCCCAAAACCTGAAGCTTGAACAGGCAATATGTTACATTATTTTCATGAATGTCTTTAGATTTATTCAGCTGGACATGGAAAGGTTATTTTCAACTCCCCAAAGTTATTTCACTGTGCTAGGTCAGTGCTGTTACCCTTCCTACAGAATATGAACAGTTTTTTTTATAGGAAAATAGATGGAAATGAGAAAAAAAGCAACGTGGAAGTAGACAGGAAGACCACACAATCAGAAGCTAGTGCAAAACTATAGCTGAGCAATTTGTAGCATTATTCTCCTTTGAGTCACATTTGGACTTGGAAAAGTATATGGAGGCTGCACTCGTCAAAATCAACAGGGCCAGGACAAAACAACATTTAATTTACATTTATCATTACAATTAATATTGTTAATTGTTCCCTGTCGATGTTATGACTTTCATTTTCAGTCACTGTCAGCCACATTAAATCTACCATTCAGCACGCATAGAAGTGCTCAGAAAGTACATCCAGAATTCTCAGAGGCTGCGTTTAACTCTTGGACTGCATTCCGTGTATGAGCCAAGAGGAGAGGAAGAAAAGCTTAGTGACAAAGCTATTGTGCTTTGCTCAGTGAAGACCACAGGCTCATCTTTCAAGCTCTCAAAATATTTTCAGTAGTGTTTAGAAAAACACCTACCAGAAATTTTAGTGAACAGATGTCTGATTAGAATGGGAACAGAATCGTAGAATAGAATCTGGGCAAGGCAGCTTTGCAGATTGAACATCCTTAGCCAAGATGGATCTGTCTCCAGACTTCCCAGTGCAAGGCCATCTTGGTCTGGCCTGCATAACTTAGGGTCAGAAAAATGCTCCAGAAAGACTGCACTCTGGAAACATTTTATTGGGGGCAGGAGGGTCTGGGGTTAGTCTACTCTGTGCCTCACTGTGTCATCGTCTTCTGCAAATGCTGGCAGCTGGGGCATATGCCTTCTGGTTGGCCCCTCTGCTTCAGCTCCTCCAAAATGGGCGCCATCGCACGTTCAAACATCTTTCGCAGCACCTCTGTATTCACAATGCGGTAGCTGTGGGTGGGAACCGGGAAATGGGAAAAAAAGAAAGAAAAGAAGGGATGCCATTTACACAGTCAATCAATGTAGAAAATATGATAGGTTTAAATCTTGAAAGGGAGACAACAGCCCAGGTACAGCGTCAAGGAAACTCCTTCCATGCCATGTCAGAAGAGTGCCGTTTGCTGCACTGAAAATAATGTAAATATGAGATATCTCTGGAAGTATTTAACATAAAGAGGCAAAGAAGCACTGGTCCAACTTAACATTGCTTTAGGACAGTTGCCCCCTTTTCCAGAACTGACACGGTGGTCTCAAAATACTGATAGAAGAGAAGGTAGGCAATATATGTATGAAATATCTAAGCTGGAAAGAGTTTTAAAAACCCAACTCTTCTTGGTTCTTCTAAACATGCATGCCAATTACATGAGCAACATAATTTTTTTTAAATGAATGAAAACAGATGTTCTCAGGAATCTAAAGCCAATGCCGGAGACTGGATTTTGTAGAAAACTGCATTTTTAGCAGCAGCCAATTAAGTGTTTATGTGAGTAGTCAATTCACTTGCTTTTGTAATACGAACTTGTTCTTCTGTGAACTGGAAAACTGCAATTGCCTGCTGGTCTATGAAAGGAAATCTATAATATCAAGTCAGTAGCCACTATAGGGAGCCCTCAATTAAAAATGGCATCATTCACATTTAAAGTTGTTTGCTCTAAATTTTTCAAGTATTTTGCTGATTTTTACCTTTATATCTGGTGACTAGCAAAAAAAACTCCAATTGAATAAAATGGATTCACTTAATGACTATGATTTCACTTAATTATCATAGCATTTCCTTAAGAACCTCTACAAAAAAAAGATAAAATTAGGTACAGTCGCACAATAATCAATTTAGCAGCCACCATGAGTTGCAACCATAATACCAGGTTAAGTTACAGTCATAAGTTGAAGACTACCTGTAATGCTTTGTTTAATAAATATTGATTAAACAAAACATTACTTAGAGCCTTTATGACACTAACCTATGTGAAATCAGGGAAATCAAACTCAGCTTTGCCCTAATTTCCATATCTTTTCTTAGTCTATCCTTCTGATTCTCAAGTTGGCCTGTATTCTTCAATTCTGACCCAAAGGTTTAATTCGGTACCTGGAACATCTAGTGCAATTAGAAAGAGGCCGGTCAGATGCTTCCATATTCTTCAGTGTTGCAAGATGTCGGGATATGTCTTCCAAGAGTCCATCCAGATCTGCCCGAAGCTGAGTGAGAGACACTGAAGTCCGTTTTGCCCTAGCAGAGAAGAAAGCAGTTGTAACTAAAAGGGCAAATTTCCACAACTTCCAAATTCATAGCGTTGTAACAATTTGGAGAAATGTAAGTTTGCCTGCCACATAGATTGATAGCCTTTTTTATTTTTATCTCTGGTGCAAGGTCTTCAAATAGGAGCGATCTCATTTTCTTACATCATAGGTTGGCAGAAGAATAGTGGCTTCCTGGCTTGTGGGCATTTGTGTTCCAGGAGATGCTACAGATTCAAAATACACTAGAGGACTCACCCTCTTTTATTCTGAATCTGATGTCTGAGTTTTTGAATCCCCTGGTATTTTTTTAGCAAAGAATTTGGTACAATTAAGTCTATATTAATGTGTAAGAAACCTGCTGAAGAAAAAGGCCAAGAGACCATAGGCACATTCATGAAGCTTGCTCTTGGAAGATTCATAAACATTAGAAAACTTCATTTAAAAAAAAAAGTTATAGTGATCAGGACATCTTCCAGGGCAACAAGGCCAAAACTAGTATTATATTAATCTTCCCTACTGGATTACAGAGTTACAAAAATTATAACTCTTAATAGAAAGTGATGATCATGGAGGTTGTATTAACTTTTCTAAAATCAAAACTCTAGGAGGAAAAAGTTCTATAAGTATGTAGGGAGCAAATCCCACCACTAGGAACATAAATAAAAGTTATCTAAGTGAACCTCTCATTGTATTTTAGCTCTAGGATACAATAAATAATGGGTTGCGTTTGACTTCATCTCTAAAATCTGGCCTTTTCTTTGCTGGGAATATGAGGGCTCCTTGGAGGAGAGAAAGGGAAGTCTGTTTGCTCTGGAGAGGCACATACGTGGTAGAGACTTCATCCAGTTCCTCCCGCAGCATCCTGAGCTCCTGGCCTTGTTCCACCTGTGTCCTTTCCCGCTGGGGAAGAACCCCCTCCAAGCGCACCCCCAGCTGGGCCAGCAGCCGCAATGCCTCCTTCTGGGCCAGATCCAGCATACATTTCCTAGAGTGAGGAGTGATGGAAAGAGACCAGGTTGAAGGGTTGGTGCCTCTAGCAAAACCAAGGCTCTTCCATTCCCACTTCACAGTACCTGATCTCTCCCAGCAGAAGAAGGCAAGCCAAGGTGGAAGCCATGCTTGAATTTTCAACTATGCCCAAGACCTGCTCACAATTGCCCACTATTCATCATAGGCTATGAATGGATGTCAATCAAACAGCACCACTCTCTTCATAGATGGCTGATGTTGAGGGTATCGCTACTATTCTGCCTATTGAGTCTACTTGTTACCCTGTTCAAGCAACTGCTATGAGATCTTACCAACGAAAGTCTTCTACTTGAACTTGTTGCTGCAAATTACGTAGTTTCTCCTAAACAGAGTGGGGAAGTGACAGGGAAACAATAACATTAATTTGATATTGAGTATAATTATGACAACACTCATAATTCCCAATCTAGCTGGGTTAGCTAGAAACTACAGTTGTTATAATCCAAGATTTGGAGGAAAATACAGTGCATCCACAGAAGAAAGCAGTTTGATGAAGTTTTCTTTGGGAGTGATCCCATCCTTTTCAATTTAATAAGATGGTAAATAAAGGGGAAAACAAGTTGAAGCAGTTGCAGCATTTAAAAAAGGAATGATCCTATGCCAGAAACTTAGCAACACTGAATTTGCAATATTGTACTATCACCATTGCATCTTTCATCTACGAATCTAGAGAGCAGCAATGTGGCTAATTCTTAAACATACGGAGACTCAAACCTGTAGTATTCAGCCCATCAGGAAGCCTTTTGACAATAAATAATGATATGATTTATTAAAGTACTATCCCAGCTTTTAGTCAGAAGCTCCAACTAACAAATTTAGCTCTAATTCTAGTTTCTGGCAACAACAGAACTAGCCTGAGCTGTGGAGAGGGAGAAACTGGCAAAATGAGCTTCTACAGATAATAGTGGGGTAGGATTAGAGCCTCTGTCCGTTCAATGCCAACCCAAAACTTAATGCTGGTGAGATTGAGAATTTAAAAAGAAAATTCCAGAAAAGGTAACAACAAAATACCTTCCTATTGATTCAAAAACATTATGCCAAAAGAAATCAAGCATAACTGAAGGAGCTTATTTTTCTCATGTACAGCTCTTTCTCCAAATTTTTCCTAAAACAGTTTCTTGTGCTGTAGGCCAGCCTGACAAAAAATAAATTCTTATAGTTAACAGTGGAACTGAATTGTAATCTATCTTTAATCCCTGGCTGTCTTTTGCTAAAAGGTCCATATTTTTAAATATCTGATAAGAATGCCTTGATGAAAAAGAAGAATAGATTTAAAAGCGACAGATGGAGGGGCAAAAAAGGGCACCTAGTGATAAGTGGCAGAGAACTGGTCAGATGACCAACCCAGCCCAATAATCTGATCTCTGAAAATCTCTACAGCAAGTTGCTTTTGTTTCTATTTTGCTATTTTTCTATTTTTGCTATTAGCCAAAAATATTTAGAAACTTGAATTACAGACTCTGTTCTAATTCTAGACGAAACCAATCCTGGTTCCTTAAATGCAATCCCCCAAGATCATAGATTCTGCTTATAATCTTACTTTCTGACAACTGTTCTCCATCAATCTACTAGCTCATAGCAGCTCTGTTACCTTTCCACATGCTGTGAATTACTTGCACTGTTGATACCACCCCATATTCCTGCAAGTCTCAAATCTTCTCCCTCACCTCCAAGAGGGCTGAATTTTCTTCCAGCACACTGGTCTTAATTTCAGCATCCTCCACAGATTTTGACACCTTTCGACAGCTTTCCTACAAAAGATTTTAGGAAACAGGAAGAAACTTAGAACCCAAGAAGAAAACAAATGGAATCAGCTAATATGAATTTGCAACCATTGTTGTGTTTCTTTTTTTAAAAAAAAGTCTTTTCAAGAAGTGGAAGCTTGAAGAAAGCTGAAAAATCTCTCATTTCTTTTTTCTTTTTTAACTTAATATTCTAAGACTGATTTTAATTGCCTTACATTGGAAATGTGGTTTGCCACTGCCTAATTCCTAGGGCTGAGAGACAGCGACGTCCAAAGTCACCCAGCTTTCTTTATACTCTGGTCAGGATTAAACTTCATTCACCTGGTTTCTAGCTTGATGCCTTAACCCAGGGGTGTCAAACTCAATTTCATTGAGTTGTGCATCAGTTGTGTTTGACTTCCATGGGACATGCAGGGGGGCATGGGCAGCTCAACGTCACTCGTATTGGGGGTGCCTACTGTGGTCCGAGTGTTCTGCCAGCGAAAACGGGCTCCTGAGCTTCATTTCCAGCTGTGATGGCCTCCTGCAACGAAAAGGGAACTTGCGAGGGCCGCACGCAGCCCTCCCGTTTTTGCTGGCAGAGGCACCGCAGGCCTATCCTTTGCTGTTTCCAGGGCAGCCCCACGGTCCAGATTTAAGCACCCCGTGGACCAGAACTGGACCACGGACCTTGAATTTGACCACTGTCTTAACCACTCCACCAATTGGCTTTCACTTGATCTAAATGCCTTTTCTGTTAACTTCTCTAGTGGGTTCAAAACAATCAACAAGGTTCTTTTTCCTCCTTTGTAAGGAAGATCCAGCCAATTGAAACCAGTTGACTTGAATGCCCTTCCATACCTGTGGGAACTTTTTTGACACAGAAGCACCTTAGCTGCAGGCTGCTGCTTTATCCTTGGTGTGGATCAAATAGAACAAATGAAAATTAACTTCTAATTGTCTTAGGAAAGCTCTGCCCCATTCATCTATTATTGTCCAGGGCCATTAAGTAACATAGAACCAGGCTCATTTTTGCTTTTCAGGCACCAGGATGGTTGGGCAATTCTAGAAAATGCTCTGCCTCATTTCTTACAGTTACATGTGCTGTCACGCTATTTGAGCAGAGACATGTATATAAAATTCCAAACCAACAAGCCTAAGTGATGGCAATATCATTAAAAGCTAAAATAAGAATTGTACATAATCTGACTAAAAGCAAACTGGCAAATGTTAACCTTATGGATAACATGCATAGTCTACTTTTAAACCTTTTCCTTCATTCCAACCCCACCTTTTCCCATGAACACTCTTTCTTCTACTTTTTTTTGTATAATTCTGTCTGATTAAAAGTACTGGAGCACTTAAATGCTTACACAATAAATTACATTTAATTATGAATTAATTTTTTTAAGGATCAACATATACATTCTTGCTTTTAAATTTTTAACTTATTTTAACTTATTATTTAGAAAAATTAAATGATAGCAATAAAGCAAAGGCATGAAGGCAAAATGAAGACAAAGTCAAATCTGATTTTACAACAAGATGGACAGAATTTAGCACCTTCTCCCTCAAATTGGCCCAGAAAGTCAGAATGAAGAATTCTTGCATTAGGAGCCTTAAAAAAAATAAAAACAAATTCATTCTACATTCCTGTTTATTAAAGCAGAAACAGACATGGTCAATGTAGAAATCTAACTGTTCAGTTATGCAGTCTATAAAAAAAAACAGACCTGCAGATTCTGAAGATGGTGGTTGACCTTAGATGTCCTCTCTTTGAGACTGGTAATGGAGTCCTTGGCTCGCAAGAGGCCACTATTGCTCACTTCCTGTTGGGAGAGAATGTAAGAAGAGACCAGATCATCCATTTACTCTTGACTTCTTCACACTTTCCAATAATTTATTTCAGTCTTGGTGTCAACCAAAAGGTCTTCTTAGAGACCTACGAACTCATTGTTAAAAGTGATAGAAGAAATTAGTGACATATTTGAGGGACACTGGAGCCATATAGTAGAAACGTGCTTGTTGCAATGTACCTGTTGCAGCTGAGGATCAAGGAAAGCAAAGAAAGACATATTTGGAACAATATAAATGAAACAAACAAAATATTGAAAAGTTGTATTTATGTAGTTGCTTGTCAAGCACATCTAAATTATATTAAAGTAACCAAAATATCTTTACAATCCCCAAGGCATGTCACAACTTTTGAGCATCTCTAATGTTTGGAAAGTGTAAACATTTGATGCGCCCTAAAAGGCCATATGCAGAAAGCAAATGAGGAATGAAGAATGACACAAACATATCTCTGCAGAAGGAGGATCTCAAGAGAATGAATTCTTCTAGAAGAGCTATTCTCATTGGCTATGTTCAAGGGGATTCTGTTGGCAAATTCTTTCCTAGTCCACTTCCTAAACAACCAAGACTTTTGAAGATTTTTAAGGAATATTTTTCTTGAACAAATAATGACAAAACAAAAAACCTTGCTATAAAAAAACCCTGGATTCTCTTTAATTTTTGCATGATGCAATATCATCAAAGATACAGAAAAAGAATGAATGAAAATAATTTTAGTTTAGTTTAGTTTTCTTTATTGTCAATACTAATGCAATACTAATGATCTTCTGGGCAATGACATTAACCCTCTGGAGTGCTTTCCTATCTGCCACTGTGCAATTGGCAAACCATACAGAAGTGCAGTAAGTTAAAATACTCTCTATGGTGAAGTGGTAGAAGGTCACCAGCCATTTTTCATTCAGTTGTTGTTTCCTGAGAATTTCAGGTAGTATAATCTCTGTTGGGCCCTTTTGACCAGTGCTGAAATATGAGCACCCCAGGTCAGGTCCTCTTTTATGGTAACATCCAGAAACTTAAAACTGGCCATTTGCTCCACTCGGTCACCATTGATAAGCAAGGGCTGGATATCTGATCTGTTCTTTCTATAGTCCACTATAAGCTCCTTGATCTTGTTGGTGTTGAAGACCAAGTTATTGTCTCCACAACACGAAAGCAACCGATCCACCTCATCTCGGTAGGCAGACTCATCCCACCCGGAGATGAGTCCCACCACTGTTGTGTCACCTGCAAATTTAGCAATAGTATTACTAGTGTGAGTGGGAATGTAGTCATGCACATAAAGAGTATAGAGTAAGGGACTCAACATGCAACCCTGTGGTGTACCAGTGTTAAGAATAAGGGCTGAAGTGGTATGATTACCTAATCTGACCATCTGTGAGTGGCCAGATAGGAAATCCATAATCCAAAGGAAGATTGAATAAGAAAGGCCAAGGTCCAGAAGATTAGACACTCGTCTAAATTTTGGTGATGTGTGCACATGCACTTTGGACACTTGGTATCGAAAAGATTAGCCATCACTGCTCTAATCGAACAATGGCAGAAAGAAATATCTAAATTTATGTAGCAAGAAAAAAAACTACAAATTAAATGTAAGATGATACAAGATGCAAAAGAAAGAGGATTGTGTTTACCTGATTTCAGATTATATTTTGCAGTGAACTACGCATCAATATCATTATTAAAAAAATGATTAAAAACTTTTTGCTGCTGTCTTGGTAGAAAAAAAATAAAGAAGGTTTTACAGTTAATTGATAATTTTACAGTTAATTGTAATTTTTTATCATTTATGGTGGACATGTAATAAAGCAAAGAAATATTGGAGTAGGATTCATATCCTAATTCAGAAGATTCTTAAAGTGAATATAAGAATAAAACCAGAAATTTTTCTTTTACATTTAATGGAAAAAGAGTTGAAAAAAAAAATGGAATTTCAATGTTATATATACTGACAACAGCAAGATTACTTCATGCACAAAAGTAGGACATTTTGATTTCCACAATGGACAAATGGCTGCAAAAGTTGATGAAGTTAGCAGAGATGGCTAAATAGACTGCTTTGATTAAAGAAAAAAAAACCCACAACTACTTTTGTTTCTACTTGGAAACTGCTTCTTGAACTTTGTGCTTGAGGTGGAAAAAAATGAAACTTTGATTTTGGGTTTTATTGATTAGATTTGTTCTTATAGAAATGGCTAGTTTATACTATGATGTAAAAGTAAAAAGTTGAGGTTTGATGTTAACTTATTCTACTATACCAAAGAGAGTCGGAAGTCAATGCCTTTTCTTTCTTTCTTTCTTTCTTTCTTTCTTTCTTTCTTTCTTTCTTT